TTTGTGTTGTTTTGCAATCTCTGTGTCTGTGTTTGTTGGTATTTGTTTTCTACTTTACAACTTGGTATGGCTTTGCATTCCGATCAAGTCTACAAGAAACTATTCTTCTCGTGCGAAAAAACAATCAAGAAACATCCAAAACCTAAGCATGTACTTGGCGTTACAAAATTTCTGCTGTTAGTTGTACTCGTCATTGTAGAATAATTAAGGTTCTTTGAGATTAGGATTTTCTCGGACACATCTAAACATCCAAAATCTCCCTTGACTCTTTTTACTTTAGCTCCGCTGGTGATCTGCATGCGTCTGTGTAGTAAAAAGGTTGTCCTAAATTTCCTCCTAGTATGCCTCGCTTGGTAAGGAATCTGTCATTAATTTATGAATTAAAAAGACAACACTTTCTAAATCCAACAATAAAATATAAATCAATTCTGTACGTTTACTGTTGTATGTTTTAGAGTTCTAGAACCAAACTTGTAAAACATTTCTTGGTATCGTAGCTGAAACCGATCCAAAAATTATAACGAGTAGTAATTTAGTGTGTAGGCCTACATTTTGTCTTATGAGTGATGACAAAGCTATAAGGAGTTTACCAAACTAATATATTCTTTTTATAAATGTCATTAAAACATTTCTCAATAAGTAAATACATCTCTGTATTAATCAAAGGTCTAAATCTGTATAACTGATTCCTTAGTTAAGGTTAGTTACAAACAACAAAATGTTTAGCTTAAATAATTTTTGTTTATATTTTATAAAATAAATTCCTACCACATTTGACAGTTAAGTTTGATGGCAGTCGTAACAAATATCACTTGTAATAACTCAAGTAACAATGATGAAGCTGAGGTTACACTCGAAACTGTCAAACATTTAAACATTGACGAAATGAATATCTAGTGGTATTCGTATTCAGCGTCTCTTCTACATTTAACGGTTTATATTTATATCCATACCCACATTTTTTTTATTGTACAGATTGTTTGTTTGTTTTTACTTTTAAAAAATTATTTTACGTTAGAGCACACTTTCATATTTTTGTAAAATGGTCAGATTTAACGAGTTGTCTTCAGCATTTTTTTTTTAGTTCAATCAATCATCATCCATCGTTTTCCTGATGTAATAAAATGGACGCTTCAATAGTGACAGCTATGAATACGTTTAAGAGTTCTGTTACATAAAGATTATCTTTCAATCTGAATTGGAATGAAATATGATATTTTTATAAAATATAACATCAAGCTAAATAAAAACTGTTTGGTCATAATAAGACTTTAAACAAACATTTCATATATATATTTTAGTGGTGGTGTTAACATAAAACTTTTAAATGAACGAATGAAGAATCATGTTATGATTCCTATGGATTCCTATTTACATGTTCTATTAGTTATTAATGACTTCTCACTTTATAAACAATACCCTAGTCTAAAACACACTACCAGCTTTGACTTTAAGACCTCCATGTCGATAGGTAGTCACATTTTAAAATATGAAACTGTTATTTTTTAATATCATTTGGCATTTCTGCTTCTTTATGTCTAATTGGATACAACAACAGTTTTGTAAGTCATTTGTTCCTATCCTCTGATATTAAGATAAAAGCGTAAATCACTTAATATAAGATGTATCATCAAAATAAAAACATTTATTCTGCACCGACTTCGATATATAGAGTTGCCACACATCAAACACATACCAAAACAGGATTTGTATTTTACAATACACTAGTATTATCACAGAATCTATATTTGATGATGGTACTCAGCTATGAGATCAATGACACCTTTGGGACTATGAAAAATATAACTTTTCATTTAATGAAAATATACTGCAAAACTGTTTAAATACCCATCAACAATAGTTTTGGCTATATACCTAATTTAAATTCCACGTTTGAACTCTATTTAAAAAAAAAACTCTCTCTCTCACACACACACACACACACACACACACAAACTTACATACTTTAAGAGCCACACAACGTCACATTTTTTTCTAATTAGAGCAATTCTTTTGTTAGACATGCCAACCAGCACAAAAAGATTTGATAAATGGCAAACCAGTACATGTTGAAATCACAACAAACTTAGCATATTACAACGGAATCAAATAGAATGGTTTTTATAAACTATTAAGTAGGGTTTTGTTTTTAAAAGTCAATTTGTTGGAAACACAAAATAAGATACTATATAATAATTGAAAAACGGAGGCCAAGGTTTAATTTACTGGACAACTGACATCAGACAAACTATTATAACATAACAATTTAATATATATTTTACATCAAATAGGCTAAATAAAGCTGTAGGTGTACATTTTTGGTGTGTATACATATTGAAATATGTTCGAGCATGTAATTCTCGAGCACAATAAGACGAATAAAAAATAAAATATTTAGGTATTTCCCTCATCTTTCTTACTTTCAATTCCCTTATCTAGGATAGACTATTTATTAAAACAAAATTTCTTAAATAATGCTAAATAATGTAAAAGTAAAAACAATTTCATTGAGATTATTAAAGTTACATTGTGGATTACCATATTTTATAGCTATAGATACAAAAACAGGTAATTCGAATCAGGACGATTTAATAAATTTTAGGTTATTACAAATTAACGTAATACTGATAGTTATTCCTCTGCATGAAAAAAAGATAGACCTAATGTCATTTCAAAACTACTTTATTAAATTGCCCTAATAACAGATGGAGATAAACATAATATTTTATGTGTTTTTTTGTACTAATAGTTCTTTCATTCGTAAATTGAAGCCTATTAAATTCATTTATTTGCATTAAATCATTATCAGCTAAGTAAAATTAATTAAATTGCTATTTATATAAAACAAAATACTCGTATTTTATTTAAATCGTCTAATTTGAAAACTTTTATGTAAATACCAATATACGTAAATTACGTAAATATACGTAAATAGGACGAATATTCACTAACTCTGATAATACAAAATTCACAGTAAATATCAATTTTCATTATCACACAACACTCTCCTAATAACTTCTTTATTTTATTTTTTTGCGTGTGTTTGTAATATCCCTGCTTGGGTTTCCTCCCTTAGATTGGGAATCGCCCTTTTGCAAATAAGAAGCACCACCTTCTACCCTAGCAAGCCATGTTTCATACACTGTCTGGTAGAATTAAGATGTTATACCATGTTGAATTTTTATATTTCTGGTAAACATGAACAGCTGTTTTTTTAGCCCTTGTTTCTGATCATGACTAAACTTACCAAGAAATTGTGTTAACGAAATAAGGTGCACTGTAGTAAATTGTTCAAGAATGTCAAACTTATAGAGCTTTTTTTACAGCGATGGATAATTGTCCCCTATAGTTAAATAAGAATGGTTTTAAAACAAACCTCTAAAATGATGTGCCTAATTTGTCAGTCAGCTCGCATAAGCTACCCTTTTTAACTGTTAAATACAAAAATTTGACTTATACCATCAACTTAGTTGGGTTTAATTAAAGGTGTAAAGTTTATTTATATTCAAACCAAGCTAACTTATACTTATTAATCTTATAACTCAAGGAAGGTTTTTGGTACGTATACATGAGCTATTTAACTGGTACTTTCATATAATGTTTTTATAATTATTCCCTTGTGTATGTGAGTCTTTGAAAAGGATAAAAAATTGTAATACATCAAATATATATATATATATTTGAGATTAATATTTTACCAGAAACTACAATATCCTGCTGGCAGTGATATTGTCGAAAAATAATCTCAGTGTTTGTCGCTGTAACAGAACTAAGAATACTCCCCTGAGGATGATTGTACAAGACAAAAGCTTTTTCGACATTCCCTTTGGGGGAATAACTGCTTCTTCTTTGTGTGATTCTAACACTTAATCCCTTCCCCTTTTCCAAACTGAGTTCCAAGGCTACTTATAAACACTTTACGGCTAGCCAGTTTTGTGTTCAGAATTATTGCTATGGGTTAAGGTTAAAAGTGATAAGGTATTGTTATTTTTCAAAACAGTGAAACTATTAATAGTTTTGACTCAAAAGGTTAAAATAAAAGTTTGTCGTAGCTTTATTTTACATTAAAGATTTTATTAGCTAAACCTTTTATGTTTTTGCTAAGCAACGATGCTAAGGTTAAGGGTGAAATGTATAGAAATGTACAGAACTACGTTATTCTAAATTGCAGCATGTAAGCCCCTTAAACAACTCAGGCTCTCCTGCTTAACACGGTTTGATATTTTATCCTATCCTAAGTAGATACGTCGCTGAAGCTCCGTATCAAATTGTCAATTTATATGTAGATTTATCCAGATCCTACTAAAATTGTGGACTTTATATGTTCATTTTACTACCATCAAGCCAAAACATGTAGCCTATTTAAGTTGTTGGGTGCAATATAGCTTTGAGCCTGATTAGTATTTCGTTTTTTGTTTATACTGTATTTTAAAGATTTTCCATAAAGAAGCCTATGATAAAAGTTCATTTACTTTACTTTTGTGGAATGAATTAAATACCCTCTAAAATATGAAGATCTGTCAGCATTGCATATCATTTCCTAAATAAGAATTACCTATTAATGTTAATTCCTTTAACGAGGATAAAAATAAATATTATTTTTTGCAAAATCGGTTGATTTTTTCATATTAATTTAAACTCCAATTACGTACTTAATTTATTCTAAAATGATAATATCTCAAACATTATATTATAAAACCCTAAAATAACTCAAACAGAACATTCCTCACTATTATTCCTAAACACTGATTTTATACAATATCTAATAATTGCGTTGTCTGTAATATTTCAAAGAACTTTAAACATACAAAGAAAATATCGTAAAATTTAATCTTGACTTATCGGAAAATCAGAAAGACAGCAAAACTCGAAATCTATATGGACCTAACAGCAATTAACTGCTTGCTATTGTAATTGGCGACTACTATCAACAATCGCTTCTGTTTGTCTTGTTTCCCTCCCCTTTGGCAACTAGCTGAGTAGGCCGGGTTATGTTTTAGACTCTGACGATGAACAGGACGACATTTGCTCGCTGTGCCAGCGACGCTTCGAAGAGCAAGGTAGGTGCAGTGCTAGCAATACTCGGCAAAGCCATACCATCCGTATCGACCTCACTTTACCATTCTGCTATCACCATTGCTATTGCTTCTGCTATTGCTATTACTGTTGCTTTCACTGTCGCTCTTTGGTGTTGCTTCTGATGTTGCTTTGATCTTAGTATTTTGTATCGTAGCTTCATTATTTCTAACGTGTTTTACACAACAGAGAAGGAGCTGTGGGACGCTGATCACGCCAGTTTGGTCCTTTACTGATTATACTAGACCCAAACACTGTTTGGTTCAAACATAACTGAGAAAGAGAGTCGTGCTTTTCCCCTTTCGTATAATCCAAAAGTAAATTCTTAAACTCTAAATCCGTTAGTTAAGTAATTAAATGTTTGTCGACTTTGGCATTGAAGTTTAACTTGTATTGCACTTACTAGGATGAGTTTTTGTTATTAAATAATTTTAAAGCTATATATTTTGTATTAGTAAACTAGACTATTTGTAAATTTCCCAACTACTACTATTACAAGTCTGTCTATGGTTTACAATACAAAGACAATAAATTATATTATATTGGACAATCAAAACTTGGAAGCACAATAAATTAAAATTGGAGTATTGTTATATTTTGAAACGATGGTAAATTGAAAAGAAAAGATTTCTTTCTTTGGGGCATTTTTAATTTTGAACTCTTCCACAACTGGCAATCGCTAAATTAATAAATACCCTAAACAAAACTTACGTTAGTAGGCATAGACAAAAACTTAAGTAGTCTTTATCTAAATATCTAAAAACTTTGTATTCTTTACTTTTAAAATAAGTGTATATTATATTTCAAGACACATTTTGTGTACTTGTTCGCTTGTCAAGACAATTAACCACAACATATGGCATATGAAAACCACATTTATACATTAATTTACATAGCCATGTTTTCTGTCGTTCCGTCCGTTTGTGATTTAAATTTTCTTATTAATCAATTTTATCTAAGGTATAAGGGTATTCTTCTTGTGTGTATAAGCGTCGATATAAGTGTATCTTACTATTTCTAATATGCTTAGTCCATTTGATCAACACATAATTCAAGATTACGGGCATGTAAAGTGTTGATAACAAATTCTAGGAGAAAAAATAATGTAATTAAATTATGCACTTTGTGATAAAAAAACGCGAGGAAAATTTCTTATTACTTTGTTAAGTTTTATTTACAAAGAAAATAAGAAAACTTTGTCGGTCGAAATTTACGGAAAGTAAATAAAAGAAACGTCTTATGACACTTAAAACATATATTTACGCTTATACTGTTACTGTTATTGAGGTCGAAATTGGTCAAAAAATACTTTTTTTCTCATACTGCTCAGTACTAGGGCTAATATTTGCCCTAATATGTTGTAATTTAAGTAAATACTTATTTACCAAGTTTTTTTATCCAGGTTAATAAGAAGTCTTATAACTTATATTAATTTGTGTTCTTCACTACTGGGCACAATTGTTTTTTATTAATGACGGGGTCCATAGATTCTTCATCAAACATAATTTATAAGAGCCCCATTAAATGCCTCTGTTGGCAGTGTCGTGATATAAATTACATTCCCATTCAATGTTTATCATGTATAAAAGTGCTGTAAAAATTATAAGAATCACTAGGAGATTAATTCAAATAAAAGTTTCTTACATTGTAAAAAAGTTGTAGTTGTGGGATATATATATGGTAAATTTTCTTCTTTGGGAATGGTTTATTTTTATCAACTTCAGTAAGAGCACTGGCAATTGAACTTAGATATGATGGAATCGTTTGTATAATTTTGTTTACATGAGTTTTTTGTACCTCTTTTGTAAATGGTAAAGGGTTTATTTTTGTTGGGGCTGCAAGGAAAAGGAATATTCCCTCCAAGGAATGGGGGGAGATGCGCAAATATCTCAAACACGCCACATACAAATCTCGGGCGAATACAATAACAAAACTAAAAGCTTAAAAAATTCATAAACAAAGTTTTATAGTTGGTAGGTAATTATTATACATGATGAGTATTGTGATGGCATATATATGATGTTTTTTTTCCGTTAGCACGATAACTCAAGTGAAAATCGTCCAAATTGTACACATACATATTGGAACGAGTTCACGAACCAGCATGATCGGATCAAGGGAACGGGGTAAGATTAAAATTGGGATTTCCCAATTTTTGGCCCTTAAAAAGTAAACTTTTGCAATTTTGTAACTATTTTGTAGGCCTTAAGGAAACAAATAATTAGTACGTAAAGCGCTGTTGTGCGTTTAATTTTTACGGAGAAAATTCCAAAATTTTATTTTTAAATTAGCATTTTATTCTTATAGAAGAATAGGTAAATTTATGTGGTTTTCTTCTTTATGATTATATATTTTTACCAAATTTGGCAAATTTCTTTAATAGTTTATCAGTTTTTAACATTACACTAGAAATAATCTTCATTAGGTTCACTGTAGCAGCAAAAGTAAGTGTTCATTAAAGCAGGTCTTATTAAAATAGAGATAAATTAGGTATTTTCAAGGAAAAATGTGCACTAAAATAGAAATTCGCTTTGTCTGCAGGTTTGCTGTGGCGGTTTTTAAAAATTGTTTTTGCAAGAATATTGGTAACATTAACTCGTTGTTTTTTTTATATTTTGTCTTCGAGAGCAAACTATTTATATTTATGGTTTCGTTACAGATAGTCAATAAATATGGATTTATTCAACTTCTTTGACCGTCATGTAAAAATGTATCAAAAATATCAAATTTGAAGGTTTTTATCGCACTCTTAATTGGGTTGATCCCGGGATTAGTTTTTGTAATCTCTAAATCATAGGATTCGACACTCGTTTGACAACAAATGTTCTAATTGTTTTTAATCAGTCCACTGTTGGGGTTGAAAAACTGATTTTAAACGTAAAACATTCAGTTATTTTTCATGTGATATGGACATGGCTCACGTGTTATATGTTTACACTGTAAATCGCCCAGCTTTAGGTCTATAAACGTATTTTTACCATGGTAAATCTATCAGACGAAGATTAAAATTGATCCTTTCCATCTATCACGTAAGCCAAATTGAACACCCAAATATATTGAAAGATTTAAATAGGGTGTACTTATACTTATACTTGAAAACAACAGCACAGTATATATATTAATGCGTATATGGTATGAGTTTACTCCTAAATCCAATTTATACTGATTTGTATAAGGTATTTTAATCACTAATCTAATGAAACTTTGAACTTTGCTGTTCGAATTTTGCTAGAAGAGTACATCGATCGGACCTTACATCAACACCATACATCCAGATATAAAATTTTACGTACATATTGTTTTCAAAATATAAATTTACATAATTTTACTGCAACTGAAATAAGCGTACTTAAACATGATATGGAAAGCTCGTAACCTGAAAGATTCACATTACTCTCAGAAACACACTGTTGTTGCAATAATAATATCTGAAACATTTATTTAGGTCATCTCAAAGCCTACGTCGTCATATTTATTTTTAATGGTTGTATTTGATTTTTACTCATTTTAACTTTATTTTTAACGAGGAATGCTGTCATATAATGTTGCAGGTTTGTTCACCTAAAACTAACTACACCTGAAAACGACTCGGAAATAATATAGTCATTAGTAACAACAATAAATCATCAACAGTATTGAAAATGTTACACATTTCATCAGTTTCCTACACAATAAGGAGCAACTTTGCATTATGTATGAGATGTAGGCATAGGACTATATTATTGTACAGTTTACAGTATATGTCATTAATTGTGATTTATTATATTTACATTATTTTTAGAAACATGTCAATTCCGATTAACAACCAAGTTTTGAACCTGTACGCTACCTCAGGTTGTATTTTCCCTGGTATTATTCGTAGTTATATCATTAATAAATGCATGGCAATACCCCAACAAGTTGTTCTATAACATAGCTTCGATCTTTATCCTGAGTTCTTCACAAAAATCTTTGTCTCCAAGACTTTCTCGGTTTTTCTCCTTTGCTAAATAGTTACTTGTTGAAACTAGCAAGAGGCTTGAAATGGTTTCGTTACTAAACCTGTATTTAGTAAGGGGAACTGTGGATTTTTCTCAATATTTATGAATAGTTATTAAAAATGATGAGTTAAATTGAGATATAAACGGTTCTACTGCATTCAGAAATGTAGTCGGGGCTTCTTTACTGATTGGGACGAGGTATTGATGGAGCTGATGGGAAGGAGGGTTTAATTTAGTGTACAAATATTAACATCATAATAATTTATAATTTCTTTTCATTGTTACACAGCATAACAAATTTATCATTGATTTTTATCCTCATTATATGTCGGTGTAATGCATAATTTGCAGCATTTATATAAGGTTATGTAGGTAATATTAGGTGCTATTAGGTTATTTTACGTATGTCGGGGATAAGAATAAAATAGAACTTATTTCTTTAAGTTCTCGGTTTAGTCGTCAACATTGTATTCAATCATGAAGAGTAAGGTTATTAAGAGGCATATTTTAAGACACATTTGCATCACACAATTAAAATAGCTTCATACCTATCTTTATTGAGATAAGGCATTTGTATCTATGACTATCACATATTCATTCGTATAATAGTGAGGGGTATGAACAGAAACCAACTTTCAAAAGTATAAAAAAATCCATCACAATAGTTTGTTTCCTAAGTAGGTACTGTGCAGCTAAGTATAGCGTTGGATTTACATGCACCGTTGTATTAGTATAAAATATGTATTGCAGTTATACTCGTGCTTTGCGTTTGCAATGAGAGAGGATTCGGTTTTGTGAAAATTTGGTTCTTTTAATTTACGGTATTCTATAGTATAACACATCTACCATAGCCATTATAATGTTCTAGCACTTAACCTAAACAATACAAAAAAGTAAATTACCAAATATTTACACATTATCACAATATGAAACAAAAATATAAGCATAACTGTAAACAATCCTACTAAAGTAGGATTAACAGTTCCAATTGTGTGACAGCTTTT